ACGGGCCCCGTGGCTCCGAGCAGGGCTGGCCCACCGCCCCCGCGCTGTGGCCTGCGCCAGGGTCCTCGCCCTTGATCCAGAGCTGGGCCTGTCGTGTTCGTGCCGTGGCGCCCCAATAGTGCGCGCGGCATGTCCTCCGTGGGCGGCCCAGGGGGGCGGCCCCGCGGGCTGCCTCCAGAGCCCGGGCCGCCGCGGCCTGCCCTCCAGTGGGCCATTCCATCGAGCGTGCTCCTCCGCCGTGCGACTTCCAAGTGTTTTCGGAGGGCGCCCGAGCCGTGCCCGCCTCCAGGGTGGCCGTGCCCTCGCCGAGTATGGGGCGCGACGCGGCAGCGATTGGCGCACTCTCTTGACCTGCAGGGCTGTCGCCCTTTACAGGCCAAGCGGTCGCGGACCTCCTCCAGTGGGAACCTCGTGATATAATCTGTCAGCTCGTCATGTCCGGCCCGCAGGTATAGGCAGCCGATCCGCCGGAACTTGTGCAGCGAAGCTCCAGCGTCGCAAAGATGCGAAGGAGGTGCCGGGCCACTGCGTTCCTCGCCCTCCGATGCCGTGTCCGGATGCTGACGTTGCGGTTGTCGGTCGCGTGGGGCGACGTCAACTGGCGCCGACCTGGCCCGCGCTCGGCTGTCTGCGCGATCAAGCAGAGGAGCCGACGTGATGATCTCCCCCCCGCCCTCCAGCGCCACTCCTGGCGCGCCTCAAGTAGGGCGCCCAATCGGCTGCCGCGTGGCGCTGGTCGGCCCCGCCCATAGCTCTTATCTGGCCCAGTGCGGCCTCGCTTCCCCAGCAAGCGCGCCCGCCCCGCCGCGCCCGGGGGCGCCGGGGCCTCCCGCGTGGATAAGGGCCCCGCGAACGAGGATTCGAAGTTGCCCCCGACCAGCATCTGGAAGCGGACCCGCAGCCGCGCCAGGTCTGGCCCCAGTCACCCCAAGCAGCTGCTTTCTGGGTCGGCCCCCCCCGAGGCTGGATGTGCGTTTGTCTCGCTTCGGCCGCCAGCGTGCCATGGGCGGCCGGCATTCCAAACTCAGCTGGGGCGCCGTGCCGGCACGGAACTGGCCCAGACCATTCAGTTCACGCGCCGTCCTCGAGCGGACCTGGCGTTCCCCGAAGGCAGGCTCCTGCTCCGCGAGGAGGTGCCGCATCTTCGTCGCCGACTGCTCTGGTCAGCCCCCCGATCAGCTGGCTGCTGGCGGGTTGCCCCTCGACCTCGCGCGTGCTGTCGTTGGCGGCGTCCAGGCTGGAGGTGCCGCGGAGGGCCGCGTCCAGGGTCTCGCGGGCCATCGAGGGCCGACCGACTGCCGCCGGCTCCGAGATCACTGGGTCTTCCAGGAGCCACTCTGATCGGAACTGGGCGGGGTCGTTCCACCGGGGCTCCCTGGGGCGATCGTTCTCATGCGCGTGCCCGGCGGCCAGCGCCAACGCCGGGTAGCTGCTGGGCGCCCCCGCCCAGACCACGCGCGCGCCTGTCTCTCGACCCTGGCGGCTCGAACGCCCGCGAGGCGGTCCTCATGGCGCGGATGAGCAGGGTGCCAGGGCGACGAGCCCGCTGCCGCGCGGCGAGGCGGGCGACCTGTCGATGACGTGGTTGAGAATCGGCGGCGGGTGGCCCCTCTCGTCCAGGGCCGCGTTCGCGCTCGGGGCGACGTGGATCATGATCACCTCAGTGGGCGAGGTGCATTCCGGCAGCTGTTTGGGGACCCGGCCCAGGGGGGCCTCGCTCGACCAGCCTCTCCAGACAACCATTAGCGGGGGCCGTCGCGGCGAGGGCGATGCCGTAGGCCGCGTCCTTCCACGCCTTCTCGTAAGCCTCCCCCAAGAGTGCCCGGGCTCTCGAGTAGCGCGGCGCAGTCAGCTTCTTCCTTGTCCAGCTCCTAGATGTAGCGGAAGTGCTCTGGGCCAAGGCGGCGACGCACCTCCTCGCTGGTGGCCCCCAGAAATGCGTTCCCCGGCCGGCCGTGCCGCGCCCGCCGTAGACGCTCGGCCGCCGCGGTGAGGGGCCCCCGGCAGCCCATCTCCACGCTCCAACAACCTCGCCAGGCTCTCTGGGACGTAGTCGGGGTGGTTGACGCAATAATTCATTTTACCTCGGCTACCTCGTCCCGGCTGCATCTCGCAAGGTCGTCGTCCTGATCGCCTGGGTCTGATGGGCGTTCGCTGGCTGGGCCCCCGCCGGCTTGGGCCTTCTCCGCGGGGTCCCTGCGGAGGTTCCCATGGTGCCCTTCGGGTGCGAAAGCACCGCATATATAATCTCCCGCTCGGCATCCTCCAAGTGCTGGCCGTCCTCCCAATCCCGCCCCGAGGCCCCGCGGAGCTGCGCAGCGATCCCGCGCGCCGCGTGGCACTGTTGCCCAAGCAGGCGAGGCGCCCGCGCCTGGGCCTCCTCGGTGCTTACGCTTGAGGCCAGTGCCAGGATCGTGTCCTTGAGCTCCACGTGGTCAGCAGCGCGTCGAGGTGCAAGCGCGAGCTGAAAGGCCACCGACCCCTCCTCTTGTAGCGCTTCTCGGGGGCTTCTTCGGGAAGGGCTCCGATTCCAGCGATTTCCCGCGCGACCTGGCATTGAGGACCCGTGCCCGCACGTGGCTCTGAAGTAATCCGAGGCCCCGTGCAGGGCCTGAAAGGCGCCGCTGGCATCTAGCTCGCCCATGGCTGCGGCCCGTCGGTCAGGGCCCCCCCCCCTTGGGCGCCGACCCTCACGCGTGGCGATCCCGGGGCCGATCGCGATCCTCAATCCAGTCGTAGTCGGGATCGCCGAGCGCGCCCTGAAGGTCCGTCCCCATGGCCGTGAGCTGCAGTTCCTCGAAGTCGGGTGGCTGGGGGGCCATCGGCTACGGCCCTCCCCTCCCCCTTCCGGGGGAGTTGGCCCTGGGCCCCGTCCAACTCCGCCGCCGTCGGCGCCGCCTCCTCCGCCAAGTGGGCCCCCTCGACCCGCGCAGGGTGCCGGTTCATGGTCCGGCGGGCCGGCCATCGGGAAGCGCGCGCTTCAGGCCCGCGCGGGCCCCCCGAACGACCGCGCTCGCGCCCCCCAAGGCCGCGAGGCCAAAATGGCTGGCCCAATGCTCCCAACTCCCATTCTAACCTAGAGCCCAAGATGCGCAGACAAGATGATCCATGACGAAAGGCTGACCCCTGGCAAACATGCAAAGATTGCATGTTTGCCAGGGGTGTGCAGGATCGGAGGTCAGCAATGTCCAGGAGGCGCCATCCGCGCCTCTGATAGTAAACAGCTGCGTGTAGCAAGGATGGGTGACCTTCCCAGACGCACCCTTCCTTTCTTAGACTTGGCTGCGGTGCGCTGCCAGGAAACTGTGGGAGACGATCCAGGCGCCGAGCCAGCTCGTAAGTGGGCAGTCGTGAAACCCCAGATGACGGTGAAAGCCCTTGTGCGACACGAAGCCGGTGCGAAGGCAGGAGCAGTGGAGGAGGAGGAGGAGGAGGAGGAGGAGGAGGAGGAGGAGGAGAAGCAGGATGATGATGATGATGAGATGATGATGATGATGATGATGATGATGAGGAGGAGGAGGAGGAGGAGGAGGAGGAGGAGGAGGAGGAGGAGGAGGAGGAGGAGCAGGAGGAGGAGGAGGAGGAGGAGGAGGAGGAGGAGGAGGAGGAGGAGGAGCTGGAGGAGGAGGAGGAGGAGGATTGAAAAGATGCCTGGGACCATGGCTCCCTTGTGGCTCTTCGTGCCTCGTGGCCCCGTCGTGGCCCCAGCGCGCCGGCGCCACCGTTGTTGCCTGGTGCGTCCGAGTGGGCGGGACCCCTTACGACCAGGTAGACCGGTCGTAATTGTAAGTCGGGCCTGTCCCTGTACAGGAGGGATAATCAAAAACAGTTGAAAAATAATCCGGGGACGATATTTGGAATATTCGCATTTTTTGGGACTATGCCTGGAAAGGTGGGGCGGTCAGAAACGGGCTCGGCAGCACGTGGCCCGTGGCGGACACTCGTGCCTTGTGCCGCGGTGTGCCCACCGCTCTCAGAGGTGGCGGACTGGGCGGGCACGCGACGACTCAGGCCCTCGTGGCAAAATGTCGACTGGGAGGGGGCACTGGGTCACCATGAAGACAGTGGGCCCTGCAGAAAAATGCATCAATGGTTTTCCCCGTTTTCGCCCTCCCGGGCCTCTCCCTCGGTCCTGTGACCGCCAAAGCAGCAAGGGTTCACGACGAAAATCTTGTCGAGGGGCAAACGCCCTCAGGACCCTTTTCCCTCAGGACCCTTTTCCCTCAGGCCAAAAATGGGTGCTTGTCGGAGCTCCTGCGGGAGAAGCTCCATGTCTCTGGAATGACATTCGGAACTCGGGGGAGGGGGGGAAGGCCTAGGCCCCCCCTGGTGCCAACTTTAGCACATATGAGAATACACGTGCGTATGTGATTTCCGACATCAGCGTAGGCAAGCACCACCCAGACGTGCGCACGCGCACAGGCGCAGACGCGAGACGCGGACGCAGCCACGCGAACGCGCGCAGACATGCAAGCAAGAGCTCGTGCACACGCACGTGCCCGCTCCGACACATGCACGTCCGCAGGCGCAGCCGCTGCGATCGCGCGGTCGGCCGCGCGGGCGGAAGCAGCGCATCCGCTGCGCAGTGCGCGCCTGGCCAAGCCCCGCGCCTCGGATCCCGCCTCCAGTGCGCCAGGGGGATGCGAGGCTTTTCTTTCTGTCACAGTGGTGGACAGAGCGTCATGACGCTATCCCTCGATGCAGTGATATATACAATGCTCTGAAGCTGCATGATCATCTGGACTGGCATGCGCCCAGGGCGACAATCGCAAACAGCAACACACGCATTCACACATGCAGCGCTCATGCAACGTGCCCTTCGTAGCCGGGGCGAACTGAGGGGAGGCCAGGCTCCCTTCCTGATCCCTCCGCAGAGAAGCGGATCCAGCCGTGGCCACAGGGACACTCCACGAGGCCCACTCCAACAGAGAGCACAGGGAACCTCTTCGAACCTCGGTCCTCGAACCGAACCCCCCCTCTCCCGCCCTCCAACGCCGCTCCCAGAAGGCGGAGAAGACCGCGAAGGGGCCCAGGGAGCGGATGAACCTCTCCTGGAGGGCCTGCCGGGCTTCCCGCGGACCGCCCCGCTCCAGCTGCGGCCGCTGGCGCGGACGCTGCTGCTCCTCGACGCTGCTGCGCCCAGCGGGCAGAAGGGACCAACACGTGTGCACCGGCTGCCACCACCGCTGCTTTACGGCAGGAGCTCGACCACAAGAAACCTTCCACAGGAAACCCAACCCTGAGACCCCAAGACGTCCATCGATTTTTGGTGTGGGAGCGCCACGAACCCAAGAAACCCAGGGCACCCCGGAGGCAAGCAAGGTGTTTCTTGGCATGGGTTTCCACCGTAGAGCAAGATATAACGGCATAAACATGAACTTTCGGAGGTCCGCGCGGATTTCTTGGATCGGCGCTGGACCCCGTTCCTGGCGCGCGCCAGGAGAGGCGTCGGAGGCGCGCCGGCGTTGGGATCGCGCTCAGATCCGACAAATCTGCGCCGACCTCCGACAATCGATGTATACGCCGTTTTCCCTCCTCCGCTGCCCGATCTGCTCCCCGCCGCCGCTCGCGGCGGCCTCGGCGATGCCGGCTTCCGCTCGCCACCGTCACGGGCAGCGCGCCGGAAGAAAGGGGAGCACCCACTTTGGACGCCCGAAATGGGTACTGAAAGAATGGATACTGTGCCCAACAACAATTCCTGTTCATTTTCAACAGGATTCGCTGTCCACGCCGCCGCGGCCTGTGTCCATTCGAGACAGAAGGCCGCCTGCCCAACAGCAGCCGCTGTTGGCTTGGGACAGCATTTGTTGTTGGCCACAGTGCCCATTCTTTCCGTACCCATTTCGGGTGTCCAAACCCACGCTCTTGGGCATTGGCGTGGAATGCCCGGCTGCGCGAGCACACGACCGCGCGCGCTCGGGCGTGCGGGCGGCAGTGGGCGTGCGGGGCGGGGTGGATCGATACGGTAAGGCCGAGGGTGCGAACGCGTCGGCGCTCGGGTGCACGGGGCTCGTGAGCACACGGGTGCTCCAGGCTGCGTCATCGGCGTGGGCTGGGTGGATCGCGCAGGAGGGGTGGTGGGTGTGGCTTTGGCAGGGGGGCGGAAGTGGGTTGCATCCCTTGGGGGGCTGTTTCGGCGCGCCTGGGAAGGGGGGGGGGGAACGGACCGTCGGACGGGGCGGCAAGGGGGTTGAATATTGAGCAACGTTGGTAATCCTGTCATATCTGATTGGCCAATGTTGGAAGTTGATGGGCGCACTTTCATGACTTTCATGCAAACGTCTGCCGACACATCGTGCCTTGTATTCGTGCAGCGTCTGGCGTGCCTGCGAGGCTGTGCAAATAGGGGCGAACATGTCCCAGGGCTCCTGCTCCACGGGGGCGGTGGTACTTTTTTGTTTGTTTGTGGGATCTTGTTCTGATTGAGCCCGGTGGCGCCCCGAATCGAAACCAGTTGCGGTGCGGTAGTTGAGACCTTCGGGCAAAAGCGTGGAGGTCGCGTCTGGATTATCGACAGACGGTCTTCCGAGTGGACCCCAGGAGGTGGAGGAAAAAAGGGAGGTCATGGGGACATGGGAGGGGGTGGGGCGGTGGGGGCCCCTTCTGGTTCTGGATAATCCCTGCGCCGAGTGGTGGGGTACACTCCCTCCTTCGGCGATTGTGGCGGCGTCCGAAACGACACGATACGACTGCGCACACCTGTCAACCCCGCTCCCCTCACATCCGAGGTCACGGCTTCTGCTTCATCGCGTGGGCCCCCAGACCCCTCCAGGGGACTTGATCTTCATCCTCGGCCCCTGGCCCCGAAGAAGGCCTCTGGGATGCCGAAGGCGAGGAGCAGCCAGCGGTCGCGCCTGGAGGACTGGGCTCGAGGGTGGGAAATCCTCCCCCCGCCGGGGCGCGTCCTGGCTGGCATTCCGAAGCGAGTCCAGCCGTGGCGACGAGGGCGCCCCAGGAGGCCCCCCAGAGGCCCCCCACGGGCGCTCGGCAGCTCCTCGAGCCTCGGGGCCCGCCCCCCCCGCCGAGGCCGCGCGGGGAGGCCCCGCTGCGCCCGCGCGGGGCGGCGAGGCGCCTGCGCGAAGGCGGGGATCGCCCGGGAGTCCTGCAGGGTGGCCGCCTCGGGGCGAGGGTGGGCTGGCCGCCGGCGCAGGGGTTCGGGCGCGCGGTGCAGGGGAGGCCAGTTTACAGGAGGCCTTTCGACAAGGAAGCCCAGCCCGGAGACCCCAGGACGTCCGAGGATTTCCGGTGTGGGAGAACGTCGCGCTTGCCATGGCGAGGCCATCGAAAAGCCCAGGAAACTCAGGGCACCCTGGAGGCAAGCAGGGTGTTTCTTTGCGTGGGTCTCCACTGCAATGGGAGGGTGGCTTACGGGGGGGGGGGGGTGAGAGAAGGGCCCTAAAGGGGCCCCACTACCACCCGCACGAGAGGTGCGGGCGAGAGAGAGGACTGCGGGTCAGGGAGCTTCTGCCCAGCGCGCCGCACCGGCGTGCCCAGCGAGCGGGCAACACGTGCACGCGCCGCTCCGCTGGGCGGGAGAAGGGGACGAGCTCGGGACGTCGACGCTCGGGAGTCGGGAGGCGGGCAGCGAGTCGCGCCGCAGCGCGGTCGGCCAGAACTGCCCGCACGACCCGCTTGGCGCCCCGCGAAGGTCAGGGGATCGAGGGCCCTGGATGCTTTTGATTTCTCTTGTGCTCTGGAGGCCTCCGGAGGCCTCCAGGGGGACGGCTTCGAGGGTCTCAGCGTGCCGGTGGGCGGCGGGAGGGCTGCAGATCAACGGGCGCGAGGCGCGGTGGCGTGCCCAGTCCTTGGCACGTCTTGAAGAAGCATCGCGGTCGCCGCACCTTTCGAGCTCTGGGGGCCCTTCTCGCCACGCCCCAGGGTCTGAAGAATTGTTCGGGATGAAGCGCGGGTCCTGGGGGCAGGGGTCGGCGCCTACTGGGGGTCTGCGCTGAGAAGCAAACAGGAATCACGTCTTCAGGAGACGCCCAGCGGCGCGCAGCGAGGTGTGGGGCGGAAGGAGCGGCCTTCCGAGGAGGCAGGGGGCCTCCGAGAAGGACTCGGAGGATTAAAGGAAGGACTCCTGGGTGGCGGGAGGAGGAGGAGGAGGAGGTAGGAGGAGGAGGAGGAGGAGGAGGAGGAGGAGAAGGAGGAGGAGGAGGAGGAGGAGGAGGAGGAGGAGGAGGAGAAGAAGGAGGAGGAAGAGGAGGAAGGAGGCGGAAGGAGGGAGGAGGAGGAGGAGGAGGAGAAGGAGGAGGAGAGGAGGAGGAGGAGGAGGAGGAGGAGGAGGAGGAGAGGAGGAACAGGAGGAGGAGGAGGAGGAGGAGGAGGAGGAGGAGGAGGAGGAGGAGGAGGAGGAGGAGGAGGAGGAGGAAGAGGAGGAGGAGGAGGAGGAGGAGGAGGAGGAGGAGGAGGAGGAGAGGAGGAGGACTGCTCACTGGACTGCTGAAGTGTTGGAGGACCCCTCGGGGCCGAGACCGCCCCGCCGCGAGCGCCACCTCCCCGACGGGCTTCAAGGCCAATGCAGTCGGGGTCAGCGGGTCAGCGCCTCAGTGGGGGGGAAGCCTGCATGCTTGTCCGTGCCACCTGGCCCCTGGTCGCCCCTCCCTGGCCCGCGCCCAGGGGGGGCGCCGTGCAGGCTGGGCAAGCGCGGCGGCACTGCGTTCCCCCCAGGGCCCTGACCCAACACTGGGCAAGTTCCGCAGCCCCCCGCCCTCGAGCGGCCTGCCGAAGGCGGGACAGGCCACCAGAGCGGTCGGGCGGGCTGGGCGGGCTTGGCCTCCGCAAGAGCCCGCTGGCAACCCGCGGGTTTCAGCGCGGCCCAGGGGGTGGAGGGAGGGAGGGGAAGCAGAAAGATAAGGGGTAATAAGGAAGGCGCCTCGCCTATTAGCGGTAAGGCAACCTCCCAGGCGCGGCCCCTCTACCGGGCTGGGGTCCGGCGCGCGGCGCGCTCCGAGGCGGGGAAGGAGGAAGGGGACGAAGGGAAGCGACGAGGAGGAGGAGCAGGAGGAGGAGGAGGAGGAGGAGGAGGAGGAGGAGGAGGAGGAGGAGGAGGAGGAGAAGGATGCAGAGGAGAAAACGCGGGGGGCAGCAGGGGGGCAGGGGCAGGAGAGAGGCAGGCATCGGGGGCGATGATCCTAAACCCATCCCGCCAGCCCCCCACCACCCCAAACAACCGCGCCAGGCTATTTCGGGGTAGTTGGGCGGGCAGGGCAGGCAAGGCAGGCGGCCTCACTACTCACTTCTCACTACTCATTACCCACTGCTCACGACTCACTATTCACTACCCACTACTCACTACTGACTAAACACAACTCACTACCCACTTCTCACTACTCACTAATCACGACTCACTACCCAGTAACCACTATAAGATAACAACTACTCACACTTCACTACTCACTACTCACTGCCCACAACTCATTACTCACGATCCACCACTCGCTACTCCCTACTCCCTACGCAGTACTCGCTACTCACTACGCACTACTCGCTACTCCCTACACCGTATTCGCTACCCAATACGCACTATTCATTACCCACTACTCACTACTCACTACGACTCACTACTGCTTACTCGCTACTCCCCCGCAGTAATCACTAGTCACTAGTCACTACCCTCTACACACTACTCACAACTCACGCATCATTACTCACTATTCACTACTCTCTACTCGCTACTCACTACCCACTACTAGCTTCCCACTCCTTCCTTCTCCCTACTCACTACTCATTACTCCATACTCATTACTCACTACTCACTATTCGCCACCCCCCACTCGCTACTCACTACTCCCTACTCGCTACTGACTGCTCCCTCCTCACTACTCACTACTCACAACTTCCAACTCGCTACTCACAACTCGCTACTGACTTTTCGCTACTCACTACTCACTAAGCACTACCCACGATTCACTACTCACTTTTTACTCACTACGCACTACGTACTACTCATTACTCACTACCCACTACTGCCTACTCTCTAGTCACTACGCACTGCTCACTACTCAGGCCTCACTACTCACTACTCACTACCCACTACTCCCTATGCACTACCCACTACTCACTACTCGCTGCTCAGTACTCACCACCCTCTACTCACTACTCGCTCCTCACTACTCAGTACTACTCACTACCCATTACTCACTGCGCAGTACTCACGACTCGCTACTCACTACTGACTAATGAGTACTCACCATTCACTATTCACTACTTTGCAATTCAATTCAGTACTCAGCATTCACTATTCACGACCCACTTCTCCCCACTCTCTACTCCCGATGCCCTACTCGCTACTCACTACCCACTACTCACTATTCACTATGCACTACTCACTACTTACTACACACTACTCCCTACCCACCTTCTCCGTCGCAGAAAGGAGAAGCAGGAGAAGCCCCCTCCCCCTCCCCTTTTGTTCGGCGCAGAGGGGGGGAGGGGGAGGGTCCGAACCCGCCCTCCCCCCCCCCTTCCAGCGCCAAGGGGGGAAGGGGGGGGGGTCAGGAACCCCCCTCCCCGCCCCTTCAAGGGAGGGGGGGGGGGGGGGGGGGGGGAGGGGGGTTCGGAACCCCCTCCCCGTTAAAAGGGGGACGGGGGGGGTCGAAAATCTCATCCCCCCTTTGAAAGGGGGGCAAGGGGGGGTTCTGCGAGCACCCCCCCCGTTTTCAATTACAGGGCGATCCAGTGGCGCGCTTTCCTTTTTCGGGGCAGTCGGGCGGGCAGGGTAGGCAGGGCATGCGGCCTCGGCTCGACGGGCCCCGGCCCATCCCCCCAGCCCCCCACCACCCCAAACAACCGCACCGGGGTGTTTCGGGGCAGTCGGGCGGGCCGGGGAGGCAGGGGAAGCGGCCTCGGCGGGGGACCTCCAGGGACCTCCAGAGGAGGAGGAGGAGGAGGAGGAGGAGGAGGAGGAGGAGGAGGAGGAGGAGGAGGAGGAGGAGGAGGAGGAGGAGGACGCTGGTTGAGGGTTGGCGCAAAAACCACCCAGAGGTAGGCAACTCTTGGGTTTGGTACTCTCATGGTTTCGTGACATTTTGTGTACATGTACACGTGCCATGGCGATTCGATCGTTTCCCAGGACGGGGAGGACGGCCTGGGCGATTCGGTCGTTTTCCAGCTCGGCGTCGGAGGCCGCTGGAGGACCAAGCAACATCCCCGTCCCTCATCACTTCCTGTTCCTGCCGTATCTCCACCCGGAGGGAGGGAAGAGCAGAGGGGGCAGGCGAGGGGGGGAGGGAGGTTCGTGGATGCAGGTGATGATGTGACCCAGGTGCGTAGGAAGAAAGCGACCACGCCAAGAATCGAAGGATCTCGTCAAAAAGCCTGCACGGTGCATGGTGAGGGACCGAAGCCGAAGCCGGAAGAGAGACTGTGGTCGAGGCTGCCCCCGGGCAGGGGGGCAGGCGAGGGGGGGCAGGAGGGCGGGGGGAAATGGAAGACGGGGAAACCTTGCGCGCCCCGCCGCAGGCCTTCCAGGCACGGGACTCAAGGGCCGCTGGGACGCGTCGGCTCGCCCTGCCACGTGCCACGTGGGCGCGGATGTCTCGAACAACGGGACTTTCGCGGCAGATGCGTCGCTTCGTGCCGTCTCCCGCAACTTCTGCTCCTCGGAGAGCTTGGCCACAAGCTCGGACGCACGGTTCTTCAGCTGCTTCGTCTTCGCCGCCGCAGCTGAACATCTCCAGAGACCGCGGTGGCTGCTCGGCGTCCCAGAGAGATAACGCCAGAGAGATGACGTCGGGCTCAAGCTTCGCCTCCCATATCTCGCTCGGCAGCGCCACAACAACCAGCGGCCAGTGCGCGCCCTTCTCGGACGGGGTGGTCCCTGCGTTGTAGCTGATGACACTGATCTCCAGCCTCGCCTCTCACGTCTCGCTGAGCAGCACCAGACACCGCTGCCACTCTGCCCTTCTCGCATTCGCCGGTCCCAGCGATGTGATTGGTGACGCTGGGCTCAAAGCAGCGCCATCGCCCATTTTCATTCTTCGCACAAGCTAACTCCAGCTTTGTAGCTGCTGATGTTGGGCCCCAGCTTTGCCTCCTACACCTCGCCGAGCAGCATCTGAGCCCATAGCCCACCTCAGCCTCTCCCGCACGCGCTAATGCCAGCGCTTTAGCTGAAGACCCTCGGCTTTAACTTCGCCTCCCACAGCTCCCCGAGTAGCGTCCGAGCCCTAATCCCAGCGTGGTAGTTGACGACGGCGGGCAGCCGTGCCGCCTTCCACGTCTCCCTGAGCGCTGCCGCTGGTCGCCCTTCCAGCCCGCGATGATCCCAGCGCTGTAGCTGACGACGTCGGGCTACAGTTTTGCCTCCGACATCGCCACGTCGCGCAGATCAGCGACAAGGCCTGCTGCGACTGCTTGCCCTTCTCGCAACTGCTGATCCCGTCGCGGTGATAAAGATGACGCTGGGCTCCAACGTTCGCGCATCTCGCCGAGCAGCGCCGAACAACGCTGCTACGGCTCGCCCTTGTCGTACGCACTGATCCAAGCGCTGTAACCGGTAACGTCGGGCTCCGACTTCACCTACCACGCCTCGCTGAGCAGCAACGGAGCCTGATGCCATTGATTGCCCTTCCAGCGCGCGCTGATCCCAGCGCTGCAATTGGTGATGGCATTGGGCTCCAGCACTGCCTCCCACATCTTGCTGAGCAGCGCCTGCGTCGGCTGCCACTGCTCGTCCTCTCTTGCACCCAGTGATCACAACGCTAAAGTTCAGATAACGTCCGAATCCCAACATCGCCTCCCACATCTCGTTCAACAGCGCCAGAGCCCGCGGCCACTGGCCACCTTTTACTCACGCGCTGTTCCTCAGCGTTGTGGCTGACTAGCCTGTCGTGTCGTCTCTCCGCAGCAAAGCGACGATCGCAGGGCTGTATCTGGCTGCGTTGGGCTGCAGCCTCGCCTCCCACATCTCGCTCAGCAGCGCCAGCGCCAGTGCCCGCTGCCACCGCTCGTCCGTCGCGCACGCTGTGAACCCAGCGCTGCAGCTGGTGACGTTGGGCACCAGCTTCGGCTCGCACATCTCGCTCAGCAGCGCCAGAGCCCTCTGCCAGCGTTGAAGCTGCCTAATTCGCCTGTCGCATCGCTTCTGCGGAGCAGAGCGACGATCGCAGGGCTGTAGCTGGCTGCGTTGGGCTCCAGCTTCGACCAACATCAAGCTCAGCAGCGCAGGCGCCGGCTGTCACTACTCGCTCTTCTTGCACGCGCTGATCCCAGCGCTGTAGCTGATGACGTCGGGCTCCAGCTTCGACTCCAACATCAAGCTCAACAGCACCATCGCCGGCTGCCACTGCCCGCCCTTTTCGCACGCGCTGGCAGCAGTATAGCTGATGACGTTGGGCTCCAGCTTCGCCTCCCGCATCTCGCTCAGCAGCGCCAGCGCCCGCTGCCACAGCTCGCCTTTCTCGCACGCGCTGATCCCAGTGCTGTAGCTGATGACGTTGGGCTCCAACTTCTTCGCCTCCCACATCTCGCTCAGCAGCGCCAGCGCTGGCTGCCACTGCTCGCCCTTTTCGCACGCGCTGATCCCAGCGTTGTAGCTGATGACAGTGGGTTCCAGCTTCGCCTCCCGCATCTCGCTCAGCAGCGCCAGCGCCCGCTGCCACTGCTCGCCTTTCTCGCACGCGCTGATCTTAGCGTTGTAGCTGACTAGGGCTGACCCGTGGACTCCGTCCACGACATCTTTCTGGAATGGTTCTCGGAGGAACGGCGCAGATTGTACCGAAAATCTACAAACACGGCGGCGGCTCGGGCGGCGGCAGCGAGACCGCGCCTTCGTGTCCGAGCTCTTGCAGCGCTTCAGCAGCTTGGCCCAGCGCACTGCTCGTTCACCCCCCTCCTATTGAGGACAGTTTCGAAGCCTCTCGGGAATGTGCGTCGAAGTCGAAGCCCATCTGAGGCGTCTCAAGAGCGCTTGGGGAAGGGCTCGGGAGACCATCGGGGAAAGCCACCGAAAGCGCCGGGGAGGCTCGCGAGGATCTACAGGGAGGGCCCAAGAGAGCTTGAAGAAAATTTGAAATCCAGTGAACTCTGAAGAGAAACCGCTGTTGGGTCGGCCATCACCTCCGGGCGCGCCTTGATGGTGCGATCCAGTCGCATCACCGCCAACGGGAGGGTTTGTTCGCCATGTCCCATTCTGTTCGCCCAGAGGGTCTGTGGAGGCCTTCGGGCGAACAGAACGGGACAGGGCAAGGAATGGGGAAGACATGTCCGAATCTCCTGGGCCCCCCAGATGCTCGTCCGAAGAATGCGGAGAGGTCCCAGGGTCATATCAATTGGCTGCTGTCCCAGGGGTCCGGTCTGCTTGGCCCGAAGAGTTTGCCAAGGCCCCTGGGGGAACAGAATGGCACAGCATATCGGGCAAAGGGGGGCGGTAGCTGGCCTGTCAGACCCGGCGTTCGTCTTCTGCCCAAGCGGCGCGGGGCCCACGGGCCCCAGGGTTGGCGTCCCGCTGGGATTCCTCTTGTTCGCCCACAGGGTTGGAGGAGGCCTCCAGGCGAACAGAATGGGGCAGGACAATGAATGTGGGAGACTTGTCGCAAGCTCCCAGCCCCCCCAAGTGTGCGCCCGAAGGGTGTGGGGCCGCGTTGGCTCCCTCAAAGGGCCGTCTTGGAGCCGTCTAGGCCCGTCTTGAGGGCGCCGTTTGCCCTGATGGGGCCGTCTTGGTTCGTCGTGGGCCCCTCATGGGCGCGTCCGTAGGCTGTCCTGGGCCCATCGGGGTCCTCGTGGGGCTGTCTTGGAGTCGTCTTGGGCCCCTCCTGTGCGCCTCCTTGGGCCGTCCTGGGCCCAACAGGGGCCGTGTTGGCACCCTCTCGGGGCTGTCTTGGAGCCGTCTTGAGCCGTCGCAGCGCGCCTTGGGTTGTGCTGGGTCCGTCTTGGCCCGTCTTGGGGCCTTCCTGGGCGGTTCCTCGGACCCTCCTGGGACTTTCTGGGGCCTCTTGGTGCATCGGACCGCCGAAACGGCGGGAAACGCAAAGGGTGTAACAGTAAACAATGGAAAATTAACGATTTTTGCCAGCTGGGACTCTCTTGCCATCTTGGCCCGTCTTGAGGCCCCGAACGGGCGCGTCCTTGGGCCGTCCTGGGCGCACCCTCCTGGGACCGTCTTGGAATCGTCTTGGGCCGTCTTGAGCGCGCCTTGGGCCGTCCTGGGCCTGTTTGGGGCCGTGTTGGCACCCTCGCGGCGAGGAAGCTCGGAGTTGGGCTCGAGGCCTCTTCGGGGCCATTTTGGAAGCTGTTGGGGCCTCTGTAGGGGCCTCGTTTGGGCTCCTTGGGAGCCTCCTGGGGCCTCTTCGGGGGATTCTTGGCGGCCCCTTGGGGCCTCTTGGGGGCCTGTTTGGGCCTCCTGGCGCCCTCTTGGGGCGGAAGGCTCGGATTTTCGGTCCGTGGTCCCCCTCTTGGCCCCCTCTTGGGCCTGTCTTCGGGCCCTCGTGGGCCGTCTTGAGCGTCTCTTGGGTCGTCTTGGGGCCCTCTTGGGCTGTCTTGGGGCGCTCTTGGAAACCTCTTGGGCCGTTCTGGGGCGCTCTTGGAGGCCTCTTGGGCCGTCTTCGAGCGTCGGAAAGCGGAAAAGGCGAGAAGGCCAAAATCCTTCCAAAACCATCGTAAAGCGGACGATTTTGAAGCCCAAAATCGTCCAAAACCTCCTGAGGCGGTCCCCTCGTCCGCCCCCCTCGCTTCGAAGCAGATTTTAAGCTCCGTGGCACCTCTTGGGCATCTCTTTTGGGCTCCTGGGGGCCTCTTGGGCCTCCACTGGATTCGCTGCCCTCGGTCGGCAATCGTCGATCCTACGACGACTCTCCCCAACGGAGAAACATCGAAGGCCCTCGGAGCGTCCAACATTGTTCTTTTGTGCCTTCGATATGCCGGTCGCCTCTCGTCCGCTCCCCCCCTCCTGGAAGCAATTCTGAGGCCACTTAGGGCTTCGTGGGGGCCGTTTGGGGATCTCTTGGGGCGTTTTTGCCTGCGATATGCCTGTCGCCTCTCGTCCGCTCCCCCGCTCCTGGAGGGAATGCTGAAGGCACTGAAGGCTTCGTGGGGGCCGTTTCGGAGCCTCTTCGGCCTTCGTTTGGGCCTCCCGGGGGGGCTCTTAGGGCCCTCTCGGGCCGTCTTGGGTGCCTCTTGGGCCGTCTTGGGGCCGTCTGAGACCCGCCTCGGCGCCTCTTGGGCTGTCGTGGGCCGTCTTGGGCCGCTCCTGGGGTCGTCTTGGGTGCCTCTTGGGCCGTCTTGGGCGCCTCCTGGGCCGTCCTGGGGCCGTCCTGGGGCGTCTTGGGACCGTCTGGGGGCCCTCCTGGCCCGTCTTGGGGCTCTCTTGGGGTCCTCTTCGGCCGTCTTGGAGCGGTCGGGGGGGCTTCTTGGGCCGTCTTGGAGCGTCGGGAAGCCGACGAGGCGAGGAGGCCGAAAACATCGAAAAACACAGTAGAAATCGACGATTTCTGTCGCTCGGGACCCTCTTGGGAGGCCTCTTGGGAAGCCTCTTCGGGCGTCTTGGACGCCCTCTTGGGCCGCCTGGGGCGAATCTCGGGCGTCTTGGGCCCATCTTTAAGCGTGCCGGGGCTCTCTGGGGCCGTCTTGGGGGCTTCTGGGGCCCTCTGGACATGTCCTGGGGCCTGCCTGGGCGGCCCGGGGCGGCCCGGGGCCAGCCCGGGGCGATTATTGCTTACTTGATCCTGCGCCCTTCTGGTACGCACTGGGCCCTGCAATGTAGTAGAGACTAGGACTGACCGCGGACTACGTCCACTTGCGGAGTGAAGGGGTGCTGCCGCAAGGCGATCAGGATGAATGGCGTCATGTTCCCCTGCCACACATCGCTGAGCGAGGAGACGGAGGAGCGTCTGGACGCCCCACCTGGGGCGCTCAAGGGCTCCCTTGGGATCTGGTCGGGCTTTGTCGGTGCGTTGGGTCCGACCTTCTGGGGGCGTTCTGGGGCCGTCTGGGGGTCCTCTGAGGGGCCCCAATATCACCAACACGCCTCTAACATAGCCCCATAATGGCCGCCCGCCCAGAATCGGCGGGACCGATCCTGGGCGGGACCGATTCTGGGCCACCGCGCCGTTGACCCAGAATCCCGCCCGACGCGCCCCGGAAGCGCGCGGTGCTTTTTAGGGCGTCATCTGGAACCTCTGAGGGTCGTTTTGGAACCTCTCAGCGATTCTTTTCGGCCTCCTGGAAGCCTCCTGGGGCCCTCTTGGGCTGTCTCGGGTGCTTCTTGGGCAGTGTGGAAGCGGTCCGGGGCCATCTGAGGGTTGTCTGGGGCCGTCTTGGGCGTCTCTGGAACAGTCTGGGCACCGTCTGGGGTTTGTCTAAGGCCGTCCTGGGCCGCTCTCGAGGCTGTCTTGGGTGCTCCGTGGGCCGCCAGGGGCGCCTCAGGCGCCGTCCGAGGGCCGTCTTGGGGCTCTGTATGACCGTCTCGGGCGCTATGCAGAATGCAAGCCCAGGAACTACCAAAATGTACGTTTTCCAAAGGGAATGGGGCGATTTTTGAAGGTTCGGACTCTCTTGGGGCTCGTCGTGGAGCCCACTTGGAGCGTTTTGGAAGCCTCTTGGGCCGTCTGGAGGCCATCTGAGGCGTTCTTGGGGGCTGTCTGGGGTTGCCTGGGTCCGCCTTGGGCGTCTCTAGAGCAGTCTGGGCACCGTCTGGCGGTCGTCTAAGGCCGTCCTGGGCCACTCTCGAGGCTGTCTTGGGTACGCAGTGGGCCGCCAGGGGCGCCTCAGGAGCCATCAGAAGGCCATCTTGGGCCTCTGTATGGCCGTCTTGGACGCTATGAAGAGGGCAAGCCCGGGAACTGCCAAAATGTAGTTTCCCCGAGGGAATGTGACGATTTTTCAGTTTGGGCTCTCTTGGGGCTCGTCGTGGGGCCCACTTGGAGCGTTTTGGAAGCCTCTTGGGCAGTCTGGAGGCCGTCTGAGGCGTTGTTGGGGTCGTCTGGGGGTTGCCTGGGGCAGCCTTGGGCGTCTCTGGAGCAGTCTGGGCACCGTCTGGCGGTCGTCTTGGGCCGTCCTGGGCCGCTCTTGAAGCTGTCTTGGGTACCCCGTGAGCCGCCAGGGGCGCATCAGGAGCCGTCCTGGGGTCGTCTTGGGCTGTCCTGGGGCCCTCATGAGGGCGTCTTGGGGGGATCTTGGGGGCTTCTATGGCAGTCGAGGGCGCGTCGGAAACGA